CCCCCCCTACCTACCAACCAATAGGCTACGAGCCTCACCTTCATCTAGTTAAAACCCCTCCTAAATATCGTAGCTAGAAACAACCTACTTAGATACTTGTAGGCCTAAAAACCCTACACGTCTTATATAGCCCTTCAGGCTGAAAAAGGACGTTAAACTAGAATAATAATAATAATAATAATAATACGCACAGATCGCACAGATAGCACACACGGATATCAGGTGTGCCTCTGCACCTCGGACCTACTAAGACACCGAACCAGTCTTCACTGTGGTGTAGTTCTGAAAGCTATAATGTTCGCCGATCACCACTCTTTTCTGAAATAATCCTGCGCTAAGAGCTACCTATCTATGCTAGCATATGTGTAGTTCATTCATCTTGTAACCTATCCATCTCTATGTCCTATGCTCATACCCTAATATTTGGCGTTATTTTTTGGTACGTATACCTGCGAAATACTAGCAAAATACATGACTAGATCTTCCCGTACACAACAAGGCTGTTCAACCCACCCTTGAACTCCATAACACACTAGGCTTCTTCTTATGTGGCCTAATTAGCTACATACTTTCTGCTTTAACAGACAAGGGTTTCGGAACTAGCCTCCCGTCCCCACGTTCTAACCACTTCTAGAAACACTAAAAACTACCCAAATGGTCGGAATTAGAGCGTGGCCAACATGGGCAATTGCTGTGGGGCTCGTCTCTAGCCATGCTATCAGAAGGGCTCCCGATACTCATGTTCTGCATGAGGAACGCAGCCAGCATTCCCGTTTGAGCTTGAGAGGGAGATTACATCAAGATACTCCACTTTTGATTAAGATATCTCTCCGACAATCCAACATGGACCAGGCGGAATCGTGGCTCAATGACATTGCTTCTCCTGAATCTCCAAATTTTGGCAAGGTCAGTTTTGAGTCATAACAAATCATGAAGCTTAGCGACGAGCATAGTTGCTGATGCCTCAAAATCTATAGTTCTGGACTCGGGAGCAAGTGACCGAAGCATTCAGGCCCCCTCAAGATGCAGTGGACGCCGTGCTTGACTGGCTGCATTCTTCCGGGATTCATCGCGATAATGTGACCCATTCCAACAACAAGCAGTGGCTTGTCTTTCCTTCCACGTCTCAGCAGGCTGAAGACCTGTTTCATACCAATTATTATGAGTATCATGATTTGAAGGGCAGAACCTTGGCGGGCAACGAAGGCTACCATTTGCCCCGAGATATTGCTAACATTGTCGACTTTGTGAAGCCTGGAGTAGTCACTGTTCCTCTCCGAAGTCCAAAAGGTCGCGACGGATCACACAGCGCACACCAGCGCCGAGCAAAGGCTGGTCCATCGCAGAATCGACCCATTAAAGAAGCGGACCCACTAAGAGAATCTAAAGTTCAAGCATCCGGGTCTAACTGCACTCATGAAACCACAGCTCAATGTATGGCCCAACTCTTGAATATGCCACTTCTTGACGGAGCAGCCGGGTCCAACTCTCCAAGTTCCTTTGGAACGTACCAGTTCGGCCAGTACTACGAACAGGCCGATCTAGATTTGTATTGGAATGAATTCTTCCCGTCGCGTATCCCGAAAGGGTACGGACCAAACTTCGTGTCTATCGACGGTGGTCTGCGTTATGAACAGCTCTTGAACTGGGCTGCCCCGATTGGTGGGACTGAGGCTGCTCTGGACCTTCAGGTTGCAATGCCACTCTATTATCCGGGGAATGTGACCAACATCCAAGTCGATGATGAGTATTATGCTCAAGACAGGGACCCAGCATTGCTAACGCCATTACTCGACGCAATCGATGGGAGTTACTGCACGTCGTGTGCTGATGGGATTTGCGGACCTTTCGACCCTGTAAGTAGATTGAGGTTTACCAAAGACGAGTAAGAGCTTGGAAAATCTAGGCCGCTGCAATACTGAGATCTGACAAATTCATGTAATGTTTAGGTTCTCGATCCCACATACCCGGACACAACACCTGTAGCAACGGGTGATGAACCCGGATCCCCAGGCAACAACTATAACGGCACATATCAGTGCGGGACCTGGACACCACCCGCAGTCATTTCCAGTTCCTACTACTCGGCCATTGGAGAGCCAAATGAACATGCTAAGAACCATTCGACGAGGCAATGTGCTGAGATCCTCAAACTCGGTCTACAAGGTATTACGTTCATGTTTGCTTCTGGTGACAGGGGGGTTGGTTATGGAGATACGTGTGATTCATTCTTTTATTCTTACCCTAACGGGTGTCCCTGGATTTTGATTGCAGGAGGAACAATGATTGGGGCTGGTAAAACAGAGAATGACACTGAAGTCGTATGGCAAACTGGCGCTGCTGGAAATCAGCCTTGGACGGGTTCATGGGCCTCCGGCTCGGGCTTTTCCCTGTTCTTCGACCGTCCGGATTATCAGAAAACTGTGGTTGATGAATACCTACAGAACCACGATCCAGGTTATACGTATTGGGAAGGAACAAATTACAACCATACGAAGCCTGGGTATTACAACCGTGCAGGCCGCGCATATCCCGACTTGGCAGCTAACGCTGGTCCGGTAGGTTGATTTTCGCTCATCTCTCAATTCGTATGGCCACCCACTCACACTAGCATAGATTCCCGAATGGGTAGGACGGCAACGGAAGCAGGATGGAGGAACAAGTGTTTCTGTGCAAGCCATCGGCGTGATGCTCGCACGCATCGTTGACGAACGTAAGAAGATTGGAAAGGGACCTATAGGTGTTCCCCATCATGTCCTTTACAACAACCCCCAGGTGTTTCGAGATGTTGTCAGCGGTAACAACCCCGGCTGCGGAACTAATGGTTTTCCCGCGACGAAGGGATGGGACCTACCTACGGGTCTTGGAGTTCCAGACTACGAGAAGCTCCTTGCGCTCTATTTATCTTTGCCATAGAAGAGAAGTAGTTTTGCCAAGCCTACATGCCCTAGATGTCTTGACTTAGTCAATACAAAAATACAGTTACCGATCGTCAATCGCTAAATAGACTTATTAGCAATTCGTCTCACCCATACCGAGTTTTTCTACTCACTCTTGATATGATTCACTTACATTCTTCTGAATAAGCAAGACGGCTGTAAACTTGGGGAAAGAGAGACAAGGGCAACAACGACAGCTCGGAAAGCAGTTCACACTGAAGACGAAAACGCTCCATCCTATGCAAAGCTGGGTGGGAACTCTTGATGAAATAGTCGATGCTCAGCATCCTTCGCAGAAATTTGAGGATGATTTTAAGGACTTTTCAACGAAAACACCTTTAGTGTTTGTCAAATATGGTCGTGTTATCATACGCCAGCATCAGCATATATACCAACAAACAAAGATTCGCTGGACATAATAGATGCAGAAGAAGTATGGAAAGAACTAGCTCTATTTACAATCGATCTTACTTCAATCTTGGCGTATGGGTTTACTACAAAGATATCTTCAGTACATAACGCTCAGATGCACACAACATGATCGATGCTGTCTATCATCTAATTCGCAATGAAACTCCAGATACACCGAGTCAGCGCAAACTGTCAATTTCAAGCTTCTACTATCCTCCTGTTTTGTACCTGTTTTGTTTTATGCTCCAATACACTCAGCGAGGCTACGGTGCCCCGGAAGTTCAGCAGACAGTGCCCGCCAACTGATATGCACCGGTTCGCTACGACCATTTCGCATCGCTCATTACTTCTCCAGATGCACCAGGTATAAATCCTCACGTAATCTCTGAACTGAATTCATGATTATCACACTTTGCTACACGATCAAGGGCCAATCACGGTCCAACAAGCACCACCGTACCCCGCACACGCTGCCCCGAAACCGCGGGTCAAAAGCAACCGAACATCCAACCTTCCAAGCCAAATTCATCATTCCCTCCATGCCTACAAACAGCCCTAGCGACGATGAAAACGGCATCGCATACTTCTGTACCACTCACCACCGGCTGGACACTCAAACAAGGCGACCGCAGCTCGACGCACCCCTGGTTCCCAGCACACGACGCCCCCACCGAAGTATACCGGGATCTACTCAAGAACGGGGTAATCGCCGACCCATTCCAGGACCTCAACGAGCTTTCCGTCCGCTGGGTCGGCGACGAAACATGGACTTACCGCACAAGCTTCGGCACGCCGGGGGAGTACACTGCGTCAGGCAATGATGTAGCTACCCAGCTCCGGTTTTCAGGTCTGGATACCTTTGCGTCTGTGTATCTGAATGGGAACTTGGTGCTAGAGTCATCTACTATGTTTGTTGAGCACCGCGTTGATGTCACGGGGAAACTGAACGAGGATGAACAACATGACAACGCCAATAGTCTGGAAATCGTGTTCCACTCAGCGAGGAAAAAGGGACTAGAGTTGGTTAAAGAGCAGCAGACCCAGCACCGCTACATAGTGCACCAAACGGAAATCTCGCGCGGTCCAGTCCGCAAGGCGCAGTACCACTGGGGGTGGGACTGGGGCCCGATCCTAATGACATGCGGCCCGTGGAAACCCATCTCGATTGAAACATGGAGCTGTCGGCTCGCGGATCTGCACGTCGAGTATGTGCTTTCGCGCGACTTGAAGAGCGCGGGTATCAAAATTACTGTGCAGTGGGAAGGCTCAGTGGACAAAGTGACTTTCAGCTTGACGCGGAAAGAAAGGGTGGGAGTCAAGAAGACCGTGACTGTGGCTGTGAGCAACAACCCCGGAGAGCGACATGGCTCGGTGCAAGCTGAGATATCCATGGAGGCCATTGCACTCTGGTGGCCGCGAGGCTACGGGGCCCAGAACCTATACATTGTACAAGCGGAAGCTTACGCTCCGTCCGACGGTTCATCTGCTTCTCCTGTTCCGCTGCATTGTATATCTCAGCACGTTGGATTCCGGCGTGCGGAACTCATCCAGGAGCCAGATAGCCACGGCACATCGTTCTACTTCCGCATCAACGACACCGATATCTTCTGCGGCGGCGCATGCTGGATCCCCGCAGACTCGCTCCTCACGCGGCTCACGCCCGCCGATTACCATGCGTGGATGCAGCTCGCCGCCGCGGGCAACCAGACGATGCTTCGTGTCTGGGGCGGCGGCATCTACGAAGCCGACGAATTCTACGATGCAACCGACGAGCTCGGCATCCTGGTATGGCAGGACTTCATGTTTGCGTGTGCCAACTATCCGGCTCACGCCGAGTATCTCGCGAGTGTGGAAGCCGAAGCTCGACAGAACGTACGGCGCCTGAGGAACCACGCGAGCATCGTGTTGTGGGCGGGCAACAACGAAGACTACCAGATTGTTGAACGCTACGGCCTCGAGTATGACGCTGCCAACAAAGACGCGGACTCGTGGCTCCGCACAAACTTCCCCGCGAGATACATCTACGAGCACCTCTTACCCAACATCGTCGCTCAGGAATCCCCCGGCGTAGCGTACCACCCCAGCTCCCCCTTTGGCAACGGCACATCGACGGTGCTCAAAGTCGACCCTACAATCGGCGACATCCACCAGTGGAACGTCTGGCACGGCGCCATGTCGCCGTACCAGGAGCTGCCCTCTCTGGGCGGCCGCTTCGTCTCGGAATTCGGCATGGAAGCCTATCCACACGTCAGCACGCTCGAGGGCTGTATCACCGCGTCTGAGTCGCTGTATCCAGGCTCCATGGCCATGGACTTCCGCAACAAGGCGATTGGCCACGGGCGCCGGCTTGCCAGCTATGTGGCGGAGAACTTCCGGGTGCGTGAGGATGTACGCGGGTTCGCGCACCTCACGCATGTCATGCAGGCGGATGCCATGGCGTGGGCTTATGGGTCATGGCGTCGTGACTGGGGGACCCGTGGTGCCCGCAAATGTGGAGGTGTGCTGGTGTGGCAGTTGAATGATTGCTGGCCGACCATGTCGTGGGCTGTGGTCGACTACGAGCGGGTGCCCAAGCCGGCGTTTTACGCTATCAAGAGAGCCATGCAGTCTGTTGCTGTGGGCGTGCGCCGGAGCATTCATAGCTGGACGATGCGCCCGGCGGATGAGCTGTGGCAGCGCGATACGGGCCATATTGATATGCGCAAGGTGTGGCGGGATGTTGAGTTCGATGTGTGGATTGCTAACAGTACGCTTGAGGAGATGGAGGGATCTGTTGATATCAGTTACATATCAATTAAAACGGGGGTGAAAGTAGGCCAGGAGCCGCGGCGTAGTGTACGCATCGCTGCTAACGGCACCACAGAGGTGCTCAAGAATCACGCTGTAGATGCAGACTGGTCACAACCATCCGACGAGCCGTTTGATGTTGCAAAAGCAGATCCCTTTGTCATCCAAGTGGCGCTCCACGTAGCTGGCCGATGCATTGCGAAAGACATCTCCTGGCCAGAACCCATCAAATACCTCTCTTTTGTAGAGCGAGGGGTCAAAGTGGAGTACTCGGAAGACATGGGCACCGCTTTCGTTTCTGCTGCAAAGCCAGTAAAGGGGTTTGTGTTTGGCGAGAGAAAAGGTGTGCGGTTGAGTGACAACGGCTTCGATGTCATGCCAGGCGAGACGCACAAGGTGCACGTAGATGGCTGTGCAGCCGATGAGCTGGAATGGAGATATATCGACATGTAGATTCGCGAGAAGAACAAAATAAAAAACTAACCCCAAATCCAAATTCCCACATGGATATGAGGATCCACGCTTCAGCGGAGATCAGCCCACCATGCGAAGTGTGACAAAGATACATACCCAGCCTCGCCCACAGACACTATATTCCCCAAAAGTTCTCCCCAGAGTCGCTATCGTTCTCGCTGGGTTCTAGGATTTTGTCACTAATCTTCCAGAATACAGTCGGTCCGGCAGGTCCATGAATGTCGAAATCTTTGTCAAACCACGTCCCCACGACCCCGCGAGGACTGCGCAGTCCGCCGATTTGAACACCATCACTGCGCCATCGCTCCTCTCCACTGTGCCATGTCAGCCATGCTCAAATCAGCAGCTCGTTTTATATAATAAACCTACCCGTGGAACACTGAAATGGTCTTCCAGCGTATGTCTCCATTAGCTGTCATGCGCACGGTACCGCGGATACCAGAGTTTGCGTTGGGATCCCATTGGGCGTCAACGGATTTTGATTTTCCCCTAAAGTGTACGATAGGCATGGATGGGTCTTCAAAGGGGCCTGGCGCTGTGACATCGGTGACTTGAAGATTCATGAGGATGTGACGAGTGGCTTCTTCAGTGATAAGTGGCGCTCTTGGCTCGTCGGCAGGCATCCTCCTCGCCTCGCTATCAAAGTTGTAATGATAGAGGTCAGTGTAGTCCAGAAAGCAAACAATCTACACCCGTTAGTGGATATTACACTGCTACATGGTAAATAACATACGCGGGACCAGATCCCTTGGACTCTGTACGGATCCTTCATATCGAGCGGGAGGTCTGGTTGTTTCAAGAGCGCCATGTAATCCGGCATAGCTTGGCCCGCATCAACCGGCACATCTGGGATGACTCCATCTAGGGGGTGAAACCACGGGGGGCGAAGGGGGTTGGGTACGTTATGCGCGCCAAAAAACGAGTTGTGTCCAACGACAATCATGATACTCTCGACCATTTCCCAGTCGACTCGCATACTGCCGTCCTTGCGAAAGGGGCCCCATTCATTCTGGTCAGTGTAGTTTCGCAGGTCGTATACGCGCGACCTAGCATACGGGTGTGTAGCGAGATCCTTTGTTCCAGCGCCTGATGGAGGAAAGCCAAAGAAGCTGTGCAGTTTTGCGCTCAGCTGACGGCCTTCTTCATCATCAGCTGGTCTCTGCTTAGCCGTTCCAGCACGCTCGAAAAGCGACGAGCGGCACATGAAAGCATCGTGGTTTTGTGAGATGTTTAGGAAGAGGTCTGTGATCAGTGTCTTGTTGCGGCTAGTGCCGAGGTCATCAAGCGACATGGTGCCGAGAAGATTGTCAACTGTCGATGCGATGTAGTTGAACTCATCCCGCTGCGAGCGTTAGACACGCCAGTCTAGAGAGTCAGGCTCATACCTTGAGGTCATTATCGGCGGAAAGAAGCATCTTCTGGCATTTTACTGTCCGCTGCAAGGCTTCAACCCACTCGGGCTCCGGATCTGTCGGTCGTCTGCGGCGAGGATCATCCTAACACATTGTCAGAATTCTGAGCTGAATAGAAGAATCAATGCCACATACGAAATGCTTGAGGTAGACAGTCTTGTATATTCGCGTGTTCTCTCGTATGAAATCACCGAAGCCCTTGGACGCCTGTGCACAAGCCGCCAGGTCTTCGGGGTTGATCTCTTCAAGGATCTGGACGAGAACGTCGTAGCACAAGTCGAGTAGCTCGGGCATACCTGCAAGTACTAAGATTAGATGTTGAGGACAACCTGAGCGTGACGATGGAGATGGTGATGAACGTAAATCAAGGGTCCGATAGTGACAATGTGGGGTACGGAGATAAGAGCTTATTGCCGAAAGGTCAGAGCAGAGAAGCGTTCGTAGACACGGTCAAGACGTGATGCTCTACTCAGGCGTATTTGGTCTCAGCAAGGCTGCTTTTCTTGGTGTAACATTAGGAAGAACTGTGTGTGGTACAAAACCGGCAATCGACAACAAAGCCGCTAGTGCAGCAATTAATCAGCAATGCTCATTAGCGTGCCAAACTCGAACAGTTCATTACTCTATCAAAGCATAGCACGAGCCGGGATCTCACGGAAAACATTGTCTGGAATTCACAAGCTCGGTTCAACTTCCATGCAACAGGGTTGCGAAGATAAACATTAATATTGCGCTGGGGGTATCAAGCTATAGAAAAAACTACCATTCCAACCGGTCATCACACGTCAGACGGACGTCGTACCGGTCGTCGCCCTTCCACACATCGCCACCGTTGTTGGTGCTGGCTACGATGCGCCTGAGGTCACTGATCATGCCACCAGGACCAGATGCGAAGACGTCGGTTCCTCCTCGTACTGTGCCTGCAACAAAGTCGCGGACAATGGCATCGAGATCGGGCCGAGCCTGGACATGGTTCAGGCCTAGTTCTGATTTGGACACGCCGTGAACAGACAGTGCGGAAGAGGCGTCCTGGGAAGAGTTGGAGCTCGAGGCAGGGTTAATCTCCTTGCTGCAGTCGGTTCCGCCAGCCTTCTCCGAAGCAGCTGGTGGCGGGACATTGGCTTCCTCTGCGGCGCGCGTAACGTAGATGTGCATGCTAGTGCGCAGGTTCCGGCATTTACGCTTCAAGATGGCGAGTTCTGGTGCGACCCAGTCAATGTCGCTTCGTCGACGGATGGCCCATACAAGAGACATGTGGCGGTCGGGGTGTTGGGGTCGAGAGGCGAGGTCGAGGAGAACGGGAAGGACGTATGCAATACCAGTTCCACCAGCAATGCCGATGATGTTGGCGTCAGAAGCGAGGCTGTTCATTGTGCGCTCGCCGTATGGGCCAGTCATGACGACAGAAAGACGGGCATCAGCCATCAGGCCTTCATGCGACTGTTGGTGATCCTTGACATGGGCAATGCGCTTCATGGCCAGCTCGGCAATCTTCTTGGTCTCGCCCTTCCTTGCGCGGAACACGTACGAATGTCTCTGGCTGTCAGCGCCAAAAACCGGGAGACTAACGGGGGTGAAGGGGTGAGATTGCCAGATGCTGCTGTCTGGGAAAGTGAGATAGAAGTGCTGGCCGACAGCCCAGGCATCCTGGGGATGATCGTAGTCCAGGCGCACAACGTCGCCATTGACATCGTCCTTGAAGAGCGATACGTTTGCGGAAGCTGAGCGGAATCCCATGTGGCCCGAGGGCAAGAAGTTGTAGTGCAGGAGCGTCGTCCTGGCGAATCGGATGCCGCGGTCGATGAACCAAACAATGAGGCCAGGCAAAAGGAAGACCTTGAGCTGGTGCCAGTGGCCCCAGCACGCGCCAATGTATACCATGGCCAGGACGTAGTGGGCCTTGCGGAAGAACTCGTAGCCGGTGAGGCGGATGCCCCATGGGGTCGAGAGGGCGACGAGCAGCGTCAACAGGATCATAGCGACGACGCCCCAGATCATGTATTCCTGGACGATCCAGTTCTTGGCGACATAGGGCTGGGGCTGGTACAGGCGAATCTCAATCACGCACCAGCCAATGGTGTGGAGGGCAGACTGCAGGAAGATGATGTATCCCAGCCATCGGTGGAGGAAGTTGAAGCTCTGGTATGGCAAGCCGGTGACAAGCGACAGGATGGACTCGCGGGTCGCAAGCATAACGGACAGAGGAGTGAGGGCATAGGCAAAGACGCCGACGCGGTCGGACCAAGGGCCCAGCGTGCTGCGTGTCTGGGTGGCGCCGGGAGGGTTGGTGACGCCGGGGAACTTTTTGGCGGGAGTAATCCACTTCTTGTAGACCATGCCGACAAAGGAGAAGACGATGAGGTAGCCGGTGAGGACGAGGAGGGTCAGGACCTGGGTGCGCGTGACGCGGCCGAAGATGATCCTGGCGGCGTCTGGCTGGAGATATCGGCGAGCGTACGAGGGAACGGCTCGTTGGAGTCGTTCCAAGGCGCTCCGTCTTCGTGGCACTCCTTCTCCTGCTTCTGCCGGCAGCGATACGCCCGAGGGTTGGGAGCGCGCAAAGTGGCGTCCGACGGCCCATAGCACCAAGATGCCCCCAATGGCGGCCCACAGGATGCCGCTGTAGAGCATGGAGAGTTCATGGTTGCGGTAGACAAGATCGAGGTAGCGGCAGTCGTCCGGGACGCTGGTGCAAGGAATCACACGGTCGACATAGCCCCAGTAGTGCTTGACAGCCTTCGCCTCGCTCATGTTCTGGATATGGCGTGGGGCCAGCATGTTGGCGGCCATGATGTTGGCGGCCATGGCTGCGGGGGCGCTGTGCAGAGAAGATGGCAGACAAGCGGCAGGGCGATGATGGCTGGACTCCCCATGGTCGCAAAGTCGCTACATCTATATAACGGCGGCGGGGCGGAGGCGGGCGGTGGTGAGCATGTTTCGACGGCGATTCGAGGGCGGAAGCCAAGCTTCTAGATGAAGCCCGACGAGTTTAGACCCGCCTCACGGCATGGGTGGTGGTCTAGTGCGAGGCCGTTTGAGCAAATAACCCCACCCTTTTTCGGGCGACGGCCGACATGCGTCAAACGCAAGACGGGATCAGACGGCGACCCTGGACACTGCGTGGGCGGGTGTAGGAAGATGCGTGGGCCCTAAGTATGAATATCCGCTGGCGGGCCGTCTTTACTTACAGTGGCGTTGAGACTGCTATCTTCTGGACTCCCTTTGCTCTCGCCGTCGGCGCCGTCTCTACCAGTATTAATTATATTCCGGCCATAGGATTATCGCTACCACTGGCTTCTACATTCACGCGCAGCATTCACGATGAATTCCCACTCCATGTCCGGTATGGGCGGGAACACGACCTGCGTCACAGAGGTACGGAATTCCACCTTGAAAAGCTGGATGAAAAGTCCAAACAAAACATCAGAGAAATAAAGAGGAAGAAGGAGTCAATGAATGAGAGTTCTAACAATCCCCAGATGCTGTGGAACTGGCGCGTCAAAGACGCCTGTTTCCTCTCGTCGTCGTGGCACATCTCCAACAACGGCATGATGGCCGCCAGCTGCATCGGCGCAGCTCTCCTCGTCGTGTGTCTCGAATTTCTACGCCGCGTGAGCCACGAATACGATGCCTTTCTGCTACGCCAGTTCCAGCGCCAACTCCACGCCCAACAAGCCGCTCTCGCCGCCGCGGCGCCCGCAAACTGCTGCGACGGGCCGTCCACCACGCTCGGTCTCCAGCAACACGCCACCTTCCGGGCCACTGCTCTACAGCAGCTCGCGCGGTCTCTTATCCACGGTGTTACGCTCGGCCTCGCCTACATCGTCATGTTGCTCGTCATGCATTTCAACGGCTACATCTTCATCTCCATCATCCTGGGCGCCACTCTCGGCAAGTTCCTGTGCGACGGGCTCGTCGTCCGCATCCCGTACAGCACCACCGCGCCAGACGACAAGGAAGAGCGCCGTGCATCTATCGGGGCAGCCGGGCCAACCGGTTGTTGTGCGTAGAAATTATGTATATCGTGTGCCGAGAAATGAAGAGAGAGAGTCAGTGATTGAGATACTCTACACCTATATGACGATAGCTATGGATAGCGAATGAGAATAATTTTTCTCCCCCTTGTGCTCTGAAAACCTACTTCTTCACATACACAAATATGCCTGCAACATTGTAACCGTCATCTTCACACACACACACACACACACACACACACACACACACACACACACAAACACATGGGAACCCTGACTTGTGAGAAGAAGAAAAAATAAGCGCCAAGAGATACTATCCATATCACCTTACTTCCATACCACCTACCCACCCACCCATCCGTATTATTATCCCCCCAGCCTTATTCGCCCACCCCCCCCCATTCCCCATTCTTCCCACACACACACTGCTATCTCCGCTCAAACCTGCTCTCTTGGCAATACCCACCCATGCACATGCACAAGGACCCAGTCACGATACCCGGTAGCGGAGTCCACCGAGGGAGGGGGGGATCCTCCGACCCCACCACCAAGTTAAGTAAGTACTTAGCGCTGTTGGGAAACACTCTCACTCTCACACGGGACGGGACGGGTCAATGGCCTCTTTTTTGCGCTGGTTGTGGCAACGTTGCCAAGACGCGCGTCTTCTTCCGATCTCGAGTACGGGTTCGTGTGGCGGGGTGGTGGGGGAGTTGGGGTTGTGCATCGAGATGGGGGGATGGAGGGGGATGGGAAGAATGGTGCGCATACACACGCATAGTAACGTTGATGTAGACGTAGATAGATGTATAGAAAAATTTCTCGCCATGAAATGGTGCTGTGTCTCGCATCGAGTGTGAGTACCATCTTTCTTTTCCCTCTCTACACTTGCGAAGCCAAGCAGCAGTGGCTGTCGTGGCGGCGGAAGCAGTGATAGTAGCATGAATTACCATGAGCAAGTAATGAGTCGCGTGGGCATCTTGGAAATCCCAAACAAAACATGCTCTCCAATTTACTAGCAGGCAATAGCGGTCCGTCAGTCCCCGCATCCTGGCGTCTGGGTTCAGGAACCACACGCCATGCTTACTGTCACTGCAGCTATACCACTGCCATTATCACTGCTACGTACCACGTGCAGATGTAAAGGACGATGAATCTCACGGTTCAGTTTGGCCACCACGGCGGAAACTCGGTGCTTAATTCTTTAATTTATTCGCTTCCGTCCTTCTTTTGTAATTGATGACTGATGCAAGAGAAAAAAAAACTCCCCCGTCTAGTATGCTAGGTGCTAAGTACGAATTCGTCGCAGGTCCGTGGGCTCCGCTGCCCAAAAACAGATATCCTTCCGCCTCCCGCGGCAATGGTGCAAAACTGCCGATAACAGATGTGTACGTATGCGTAGGTGTACATAGATGTCCCACTTGTGTGCTTGGGGTTCTACTCAACAGAATATAATGGAGACGGGTTTCGCTGGGGGAGAGGAAGAGCAGGGAAAGCGGCGATGACGAGGTGGAAGAGCAAATGAAAAGGCAATGGCGCATCTGTTAAATGATGGAGACAATATCGCTGGCTTGGTAGAGGGGGGTAAGGTATCTCCGGGCCATGGCTGACCGGCCCACTGGCTAGCAGTTCCCACACACTGCTGATATCGCAGAGCGCAGTGCAGTGCAGTGCCAGGCGCAGACATGGCCGTGGCCCATGTGGGCTTGAAATTCGCAGTTCACAACCTCGTAACTCATAGCAAACCCAATACAAACAGAGAAAAAGAATGATGCTGAAAAAAAAATTAGAAAGGGTATCATAACGCACACCAAAAGTAACCAGAAAACACTACACTCCTACGCATACACAGCCCACAGCTTGAGGGCGCGCCCACACAGCTTCCGTAGCGCCTGCGTATCTCTATTCAAGCGCGCCGAACTGGGCAACGCATTAATCTTTGCAACGCACGTCTCGATCTGCGTGCGGTAGTTTCCCGCGTCCATGGGCCCCAGCATGGCTTCTTCGCCGCGGGCGCAGTCCAGCAGCTGCGTCAGGCAGTCGGTGGCCTGGCGGCGGTGCACGCCCACGACGACGTTGTTCTTGACCAGGTCGGCGATTTCCGTGTCAAAGTACATGTTGTCGGTTGCGATGTAGTCGAGGACGGCTGTGCGGGCGGGGCTGCAGGATGGCGCTGGAGTAGTGGAACTCTGGTGTTGCGCGCTTTTCACCTTCTCGGCTGCGGCGGCCAGAAGCTGTGCGAAGTTGCTGCTCGCAGGTGGAAAGCTTGTTTTTTGCTCCTCGCTGGCTTTCTCCGCCGTCGCGGCAACGAGCTTGGAGAAGCCGCTTCCCGCTGGTGCGGATGCGGCGCCTAGGGTCGAAAAGCCTTCAGTGGGCAAGCCCTGTTCAGGAGGTCCGTTATTGAGGGGTGGAATGTTTGAAGAGGCCTCGTTGGCGTACACTGGTGCGTTGACACGAACTGGCTTGCGTGCAAAGGGGTCGGGGAATGGCGTGGGATTGGCAAGGGCTTTGCTGATGGTCTCAATACCTTGGAGCATGTCGATGATTTGGCAAGGCAGATTGGGCTGGCCCTTCAGATACGTGTACATTGCCTCGAGGCGCTGCACTGGCCAGACGCTCTTTAGCTTTTCGGCGCCAATCTCCTCGAGGGGAATCTCTCTGTCGCACTCCAGAAGCAAGCCGTGGACGGGAAGGAGGATTTGGTGGGTTAGATCTCGTACGACAATAGCCGCCTTTGCCATGTTGTTAGTATGTAGAGCTTCCTCCAGCATGTCGATGCCCAGGTCAAGGTGAGGGCCATACAGGGCCAGACGCTCTAGGCGATCAATGTAGATGGCGCGGTAGTGATCAAGGAGTACCTGCGTCTTGAACCGCGCGACCTCTTCCTCAGCAGCCAAGCGCTGCTGCTCCTCTGCCTGTTGGCGCATTTCAGCTTTTTGTGCCTCCCACTGTTCAAGGATGTTGTTGGTGGCCACTTGCCGGTAGTACTCATCGATGACAGGATCCACGGGGTTGTGGCCCGAAGGCAGCAGTGGAGCCTGCATGCGCTCGGGACCAAGAATTTCCATTAGACGCTCGTGGGAATACTGGCGGCTCTCTTCAAAAGTTTGGTTCTCGTAGAAGGATATGTCGTGAGCGAGTTTCGGAGACGAAGGCGACGAACCGTATATTTCTGCAAGGATCCGGTCGAGGCCAGCCTGCTCCTCTCGAACACGACGTGGAGCTTTGAGAGCCCTCTGCGCTCGGTGCTTGGCGATGCGCTTCTCTGTGAATGTCATGAGTTGTTTTTCCCGTTGCAAAGCTGCACGCTTGGCCAGCGCGAGCCTGTATTCTGACTCTGCTGCAGCGGCCCGTTTAGCACTCCGCTCATCGGCGGACTGGAGACGATCTCTGATGATGCGCCCCGTGCGAGTAGTCTGATAGGACTCAGTCAGTGGAAATGTAGATATGGGAAGGCAACAAACCTTGGCCGCAGACAGAGAGCAGTTCTGTGTTTGCTTGTGGGAGACTTGGACATCGTCTGGCTCTGAGACATGTGGTGTATTGCGTTCGACTGCCTGCATAAATGTCAACGACATGTTTCACGATAATGAAGGAATACTACACACCTGCACATTATCACTGACCTCGACCTTGGCAAGGCCGTCTCCAGGCTGTGGTCGCACTGTGTTTTTGATAATGCCAGCCAGGTAAACCGCTTTGTTGCGGAGCATCTCGCGAATTCCACCCATGATGAGTAACAATTTAAGGGAAATGTTTGATTGTAATAAATGCGGAATCAGGGGATATGTTGGTAGGAAGGAATGAGGAACAAAGAGTGGGAACGGCGCGCACTGGTGGATATCTCGAAAGTGGATTGAGAAAGTTAGTAAATAGTTGCCAATCAATCAGTTTGCTTTGACACGGGGATGGCGCTGGTTAAGGTGTTGATTGGGGTTGTGGGAAGGTGCTGGGAAGTGGGAGGAAAAGGCTTATATCGACCGAAAAGCGGAGTCCTTTCACTGTGCGTTGAAAATTGCGTTGTACCACAGTGAATGCGTACGTCCTAGCGTTGATGAAGTGAATGCGATGAAGAGGGAAGATTATGACCAAACGCTTGGCAGATGGGCATGTAGAGTGAAGAGTGCAAGATGGGAGCAAGCCACACAAACGATTGGTCCATTGAGTATAAGTCCAGTTGGTGAGAGTGGAACATTATGGCCATATAAAGAGCCTTCACTATGGCATGTCCTCTTTGTGGTGGATCCCGGTGTACGATGGCGGGTGTAGTCAGGTCTCAGACACGTGCACAGTGTGTTAGTGTGCGCACGATGTTGATTGTGTGTAGATCCAAGTGAAGTGCTGATGACATGAGGAGCAACGTGACGAGGCGAAGATGAGCTGAAAGTAGACGTGTTTTGAACCATTACTGTCCTTCAACCCACAGTGGAACTGATATCTGGCCGTATCCTGAATGTAGAGTGAGCAGCAAGTATCGAAGCAAGACATATCAAGAAGGGTACGTATAAACCGAGTTCCACAAACCTGACAAGCTGTAAACGTCACGTGCGCATGCAGAGTCGGTCGTCCATAGCCACACACTGTAACTGGGACGGCTTTGGAGAAGCTCAGGAGCCATGCAACGCCCGAAATAACCTCCCTGGTCACTATTGTTGAGCCGCATAGACCATGGCACGTGACACAGTCCAGCTAAAAGCACTGCAAGGCTGAAGCCAAACCGACACGATTCCAGCCCACTTGGACAGCGATCCCATAGCAGAAAGGCCCTCAGCTCGTAGGGATGTCTTCCTACAATCGACCGTCATCCCCAGGGGCCATGCATGCCGCGTGACGACGCCACGCAGCAGACGGAGACGGTTGGCAGATGCAAAGGGCGCCAAGACGGCAATGCAATGGGGAAGAAAAAATAAAGGCGAGTGAGGGAGCCAGAACAATGTGCCATCAGGCCGCCAGCTGGTCTGGACCGCCGTCCAACAGACAAGCCGTCTAGCCATGCACAGGCACAGGTACCTCAGATTCCCATGGACATGGGCGATCCCAGGCCTCCAGCGTTCTCTTCGTGTTCGTATATCGTGCTGCGGCACGGCGCGACTGCACGTCCTGGTCAGCTTCCTTGGGGCATAAGTAGTGGAGGTGTGGAAGTGAGGTGTAAGTACGACGAGGATGGCAGCATCCATATGGCGCAGAAAAGGGTCCCCGCCTATGCATGTCGCATCGCCGAAGCCGCTGTGACACGCTCACAAGCCCATTTGCGACGTGTGGCCCCTTTTCCAGAGCATGAAAGGAAGGATATGAGGGAGTGAACGCGCAAGCCCCAAGACGACGGCGGTGCCATGGCGGGCGGCTAGTGTGGCTGTTTGTGGCGCGCGCGCTTGGCCCCCGTGCCGCAGACCCGTGTTGGCGCCACTCGCCGTCGCTTGTCAGACCCCAAAGCGGCTTAGCGCCATGCGGGCTTCCAAAGAGCGGGCCTTGATATCATGGAACAGTGACAGCGACAATGGCAATGCAAAGGCGAATAATTGTTCGACACACACGGCCGCCATGGGACGAGGGCGAATCGACGCATGGCTTTCTGGGGAGGCATGGCGAGGGGCGAAGAGAAAGGGCTCCCCTCTCAAGCAAACAAACCGGAAATGGGGAAAAAGCGCAAAACCAAAATAAAAAAACAGGAAATCAGGGAAAAAACGAATACCTTTATTATTATTATTATTGTAGTTTAACGTCCTTTCTCAGCCCAAAGGGCTATATAAGACGTGCAGGCTTAAGGCCTGCAAGTAACTACGTAGGCTAGAATTTAATCTAGGTACAAAGTGAGTAGGTACAATGTAGGGGGTTATCTAAATGAAGGTGAGGCTCGTAGCCTAGTAGTTTTTTAGTGAGTAACTCTCTCAGATCTTTCACTTTAAATGAGTCTTCCTCTCAAGTTTTAACGAGTAACTCTCTCAGTCGAATAGGTAGTTTAATGAGTAACTCTCTCATGTGGGTGGACCATAAATATGGTTGTGAGGGGAGAAGGATTCGAACCTTCGATCTTTGCTGACGTGAGACAGCAGAAAATTTTCCAGGCGCTCCACCACTGCGCCATCCCCCCAACGAATACCTTTAGCTCGAGTGTAAATCAAGAACTGCGCCTCTAGCCCCCAACCCCCCACCGACCGGCCAGCATGATGTAGTCATGGTTTAAAAAAGCGCACGGCTCGCTTCGTCATTCATTCACTCATTCACTCGTTCACTTACCCACAGTCATTCCTTCAACTCCGTCACCGTAATACCATTGGCGCTGCCCCTACTCCTACTCTTACCCTGCATCCCTCTACCGCCGCTCGAGTTTGGTACTGGCCCTGCATCCGCCTCTGTTTCGTACACATCCTACACACGCCGCTCTGTTCCTTTTTGGTAGTGCGGCTGCACGCAGGACTCTAGTGTCGCTCGTCCGTTTCTTCTGTGCCTTAGTCGGGAACCGCGCTTAATCATGAGGCTTGATCTTCGCTGCATCGTCGCCCTCAGCGCCGCCGCCAGCCTCGCCCTCGCCCAGGACCGCTGCGATGCCCCCCACCCCAGGGTCTACTGCAACACGACCGAGATCCTCGCCTTCCACTCGGACAACTGCAAACCCTTCCACGTCTTTGTCGTCCGCGGCTCCGACGAACCCTACCCGGGTCGCCTGGGAAACCTGACCAAGGAGGTGTGCTCTGCCATTGGCGGCTCCGACAAGTGCGGCTACGAGGACGTCGAGTACCCGGCAAAGAGCTCGGCCTGGGGAAAAGATGCGTGGTGCAACTCTGCCACAAAGGGCGCCAAGAACGGCCAGGACCAGATGCGCGCCTACAACAAAAAGTGCCCCAAGAGCAAGCTCATCGTCCTGGGCTTCTCGCAGGGCGGCTCCGTAGCCCAGGACATGCTGGGCGGAGGCGGAGGACCCACGTTTGAATGCGAGCAGGCCGATAACCCGCCTCTAGACAGCACCTCGGCCCCAGGTTCCAACGGTAAACACCAACGCTTTCTTGCTTTTCCCGCGCCGTGCTAACATATCGCTCAAAAGTCGTTGCGGCAGTCACTTTCGGCGCCGTCTCGCGCTCACGTGACCAGAACTTCACCGTGGGACGCGGCAAGGACTACGACGGCACGCGCGCACGCACATCCGCGCAGCTCAAGGCGCTCAGCCGGTACAGCGATGTGCTCCTCGACTACTGCCACTACGGCGATCCCATCTGCGCCGTGGGCTCCGAGCCCCAGGACGTCAACGAGCACCTCAACTACTTCCTGCAGCACAACAGCGAAGTCACCAAGTGGGTGGCCGCCATGGCAAAAGCAAACTCCGACGGCGATGTGAGTGCCCGACCCACCAAGCCCGTCGCCGCCGTCGTGTCCCCCTCGCCGGTGTCGGACGCCTCGTCGTCTTCTTCCGCATCGCCGACTTCCAGCGTCGCCGCCAGACCGGCAAAGGCGAGCTCCTCCGGCGAGGCCCCGACCCCCATTCCAGACGCAAGCGTGACTGACGGTAGCGCGGCCGCGCAACAGACTGGCGCTACGGGCGCTGCAGGTTCGCTGACGGTGGCCATGGGCCATTTGACTGCCATGGCAGTAGCCGTCGCCTTCTTTCTGTAGACTCTAGCATACACCACCACCGCCATCACCACCTACACTTTCCATCCCGCCATTTTTTGCATTACCAGCAGCAGCAACGACCAAACCTGGATATTTTTGGAACACAGAGAAGAGGCGTTTGCACCCAGGGACCTCAAACACAAGAAGGAGACACACATACATACATCAAACAACATCTGGAGCCATGGCGTAAACTGATTGGAACTTCTTTTTTTTCTTGTACAATATCGATACACCAACGGGAAATTCTTTTTTTTTAAGGTAATAATTTACATTGTTTGCACGACTTGCATGCGTATGGGTATGGGTATGGATGAGTAGGGTATAGTATGGTATGGCTACTTAATCATTTATTCGTCTTTAGAATAACAAGAGTGAGAAGGCGCTCCTGTTCTACAACAGACCCACGGTCCTCTGCTTCATCTTCCTGACATCGACGTTTTCCCACAGGGCGGTGCTGAAGAGCGTGATGCAGTAGACGCACATGGCGGTGATGAGCATGTAGCGCTGCGTCTGGCCGTAACTGAGGTCGATGGCGTCGCGCGTGGGGCTGCCGACCGGGAAGCTGGCTTGTACCTGCATGTCGCCGTAGATGTTTGCAAAGTCCTTCTGGGACTCTGCAGGCAGGTTCTCGCGCAGTTTGACGGGGAACACGCCCGTCCAGATGGCGCCGGCAATGGTCGAGCCAATGGCACTGCCAATCGAAATGATCATCGACTCGACGGCAAGCAGCGCGGGGAAGTCTTGCTGCTTGGATACGGCCATGAGCGTCGTCTGCTCCGACGTGACCATGACGCCGCCGCCAAAGGCAATGAAAATCATGCACATGACAATGTAGCCCACGTCCTGGTCGGGCTGCCGGAACTTGATCATGAGGCCCACGCCCAGCATCGTCAGCGGCACGCCCATGAACAGCGAGTACACCTTGAGTTTTCCGTAGTGGCGCAGCGCCAGGCCGTAGACAATGCAAATGAAGCAGCTGCCCATGGTGTAGATGTTGGCAATCCACGTGGCGTGCACGGCTGGCTGGTTGAAGAGCACCACGAGCAGCGAGTAAAAGTACGAGTCCCAGCAGTACCAGCCCGTGTAGAAGGAGCCGGCCATCGTGTATGTGAAGATGACGGTGCGGTTCATGAGCAGCGGCCACGGGATAAAGGTAACAGGGGCAAAGTACTTTTCCCACAGCCCAAACGCAACGACCAGCAGCACGCCGAAGATGATGAAGCAGATGATCAATGGCGACTTCCACTCGTTGGCTTGGTACGAGTAGATGTTAAACGCAAGCAGGAAGAGGGAAAGCCCCGCGGCGAGGATCAAAAGACCGACGGCGTCAAACTCGCGGAGGTAGTAGTAGACGGTTTGCCCAAAGGTGCCGTGGCTGGGACGGGGGGCAATCAAACCTTGGCGGCGTGCCTTGGCCTCGTAGACGACGAAGAGAATGACGAGGGGGGAAATGACAATGGGCGCGAGCATGGCGAAAATGCCAAAGGCCCAGCGCCAGCCAATGCCTCCGTCAGACATGATGCCTTTGATGCCGTAGCCGTAGATCCACGTGGTGATGAGCCAGGGGGACGCGGCGTAGGAGATAAAGAGGGCTCTGTTCTTGAGCTTGGACGTGTCGGCAATGAAGACGGTGATGAAGAAGTCGATACTGTTGTAGCCGACGTAGAAGAATGTCTGCGCAGCACAGTAGGCCTTGACGTTGTTGCAGCTCGCCATGAGGATTAGGCCGACCACGTAGATGGCGACGCCCAGCGAGAGCCCGAACGGCCGACCCCAGATGTTGAGGATCTTGGCGTACGGCAGCTTCCAGATGCCGCCGACAATGGAGGAAATGACCGTGGTCAGGGCAGTCAGCGAGTGTTTGTTGAAGCTGCTCGTGACATAGGGCGAGAGGGTGCTCGAGGTGCTGGATGCGTAGGCAGTGAAGAACTGGATGAACCACATGCTGGGGCCGTGTTAGCGCAGTCGAGCTGATACAACATAGAGGCTTTGACGTACAAGATGTATGCCAGGATCAAGTCCCTCTTCTTCCATATGAGTGAGGCCGCTTGAACGGCCTGCACGCCATGCTCGGCGGTGGTGTCGACTTTGTTCAGCTCTTCGTCGGTGTTTTGGCTGAGGGAAGATTCCCTCGGACTGCCCGTCTTCTCGTCAGAGCGGTTCGTGTCCATGCCAGTGTGACCCTGAGTAGCAGCAGCGTCGGCATTGTCAGAAATCATGGCACTGCTGGTGAGTCCCTTGAAGGTGAAACCCATGTTGACGAGCGCTGGCGCAGATCTACACCAAGAGCTGGGGTGGGCAGGGGGAGCAAGAGCGAGGAGATGAAGATGAAGAGATTGATAAGACAAGTAGCCGCGCGAGCTGCAGGTTCATATACAGAGGCGATGATCCACGCGGTCCACCAGGCCTTGCCCGTTGGTCCCGGTAGTTGGCGCCCTGTCTCGTGGTGGGTAGCATGCTTGCACCGCTGTGATTTTGGCCCAGATCATGTACAAGAAGAGAGATAGCAGCAAGGCGGGCATGCGTAGTCCCCGGCTAGGGGCATGCAAGGGAGGCTTAACGATGCTGTTTGCAGTTGGTCGTCCGGGATTAAGCTCACTGAAGCTCGGCCCAGCCATGCTGCAAAATCTTATCTCGATAATCAGCCGGCTCAAGCGGGATATGTGTGGCCAATCACACGCCCGCCGCCGGTTATCAGATGAAAATTTTCCATCTAATCATTATCTGATGGAAACCAGCAACACGAACTCGGCTGCCCACGCCAATAATCCACTCGCTGCACGCGGTATATTCTGTCCACTGCCCATTTCTGGCCCCCTGCACTACACAGTTGGTACCGCGGTGGCGGGACTTGGAGACGGGAGCCAAGGTGGCTGGGTGCAGGTGATAGTGAATATCGCGCAGTTGAGAAGCCATGATCCCACCACTATGTCCATGTCCAACACTCTGAATCTGATGTTAGGCCACCCATCACCATCTCGTGTCGAAACAGGCATGTCACTGTCAGTTTCGAAACTGCCATGTGTTCGGCCTGCTGTCGCCCTGACTAAGTGTGCCACCGGGATCGGACATGGGGAGCAGCCCTGACACCTGACGCCAGCTCATGCACCCCACGGGAAAGCTTACGTGTATGCGTACCGAGTGGGAGAATGGGCTGAGTATTGGCATGCAGGGCTCCGACGTTCGCTTGCGGGGCATTGCCTTGACGTAAATGACATGATCAACACCAGACAATGTGCACTACGCAGTGGGTATCTCTGATGTCAGTGCCGGGCATATGAACTTGCGATGACATGTGAGCTGTATCTACACACGTGCGGGATTGTCAGTCTCATCCTTGCAGGTACGGTAATATGCGCGAGAGGTGTTTCTAGACTGATTTCATGCCACTCGATGTTGGGCGTTGCTCCAACCCTTCCAAAGCCACGTATTCGCTGTTGGATAGTTGGCCATACCATTCCTTCATTTCGTGAGAGAAGAGCAAGATGAGGGAGTTTGATATAGAAGCCATTTGACAGGCGAGCTGATTGTTGAACAAACTGGAATGAGATAATGTCAAGAGAAAAGAATCCATGCTCTATCTGAGACGATGTCAACTCCTGCCACAGATAATCTTGCCTGGACATTCAGCGGTGGTTGGCACACTGTCTCTGGTCAATTCAATCAACGAACAATTCAAATCAGACAAGGCGTCTTTGGCTGCAGGCCGAGTCGTCACGTGACAGTGGCTGTGGCTGTGGCGCTCACCCAAGCCACCAAGATGACGCTAGCCAGGCCAATCCCGGGCGCGTTCCGAAGTAGCTTCGGAGAGCGTCTTCTTTCTCCCAACCTCATCCTTTGTGCAGCATCCCCGAGCCCGTGCAACACATGGACGTCGAAAGAAGGTCCTCGTCCCCCCGGCGCAAGAAGGTCCGCCAGAAATACGCGCCCAAAGCCTGTAAGTCGCGCCGCTGCCAAATGCGACCTTTTCGTCGGCGCCGCTGGAGCTTCACATGCACCATTCCGATGGTTCCGCACCCGCCCATGACACGGCGAGCCCATCACAACAACAACACCATGGGCGCGCTCATGAGGCCCGCTGGCTAACCAATTCGCGCAGGTGTGCTGTGCAGGCGCTCCAAGCTCAAGGTACGTGTTGCTGCTCTCCTGGCCCGCTGTGGCCTGACGACCGCTTCGGCTCCATTTCCGACGGCCTGGCCACTCACGCGATACCGCCTGCAATCCCTCTCTGACTGCCGTGCAGTGCTCGGGAGAAAACCCATGCCAGCGATGCGTCGACAACGGCAAGCGATGCTTCTTTTCCGAGGACCAGACGGCTGCCGAGGCCCTGCAGCATCTCAGTCGCCCGACACCCGCCCTCCATGCCCATGGCTCGAGCACCAGTGCCAACGGCAGCACTTCGTCGCGCAGGAACCTATTGCCACACCAGGACACTACCGCGCGTAGGGAGAGCGATGCCAGCGCGCGCGGCATGACCATGGAGGCGCGCATGGCCCGCGTCGAGGCCATGATGGAGGCTCTGATGCGCGATCGCGGCTTGACCATGACGCCCATGGGCAGTGTAGAGCGTGACGACGGCGCCAGTGACGGCTTTCGAGGCGATGCCGCGTTCCCCATTCCACCCTTGGACCCCATCAACCCAGCCCTCGCCTTCATGGGACAGCCGGCGCTCTTCTCCCAAGAGCTCGCCAACTCGGCACATGCTACAATGTCCGGTCCCGAATCCGCTCTTACCGCTGAGCCGCCTCACCTTGTGCAGCTGGGCAACCGCACCATGGCCTTTCCTAGTCCGCCTAAATATCAGCAGTATCTGCTGTCCTTCTTCACTGACATACATTTGTCTCATCCCTGTGTAGACGAAGCGGATTTCCGCACTCGCAGCGAACACATGCTGGCCAATTCTGTCATACAGCCGAGTGAACGCCATTTCCTTGCCCTGAATTACCTCATATTTGCCTGCTGTGATGTGCAGCTGAATGTATCGCCCACGAATACTCATAAGCCTGGGTGGCGGTGGTCTGAACTCGCCGATGAGCTCCTCGACAAGAAGTCGTTACTTGGCGGTAACGGCGACCTGACACTGATACAGTGCATGCTTTTCCAGGTAATCCCAATGTTCATTTCCACGCACTCGGGCGCTGACTAGACAGGCGCTGTACTACACGTTTGTCGACATGCCCGGCCCAGCTTACAGTAGCATTGGAATCGCCGGTCGACTTGTCTTTCAATACTCGCTCCACCAGCAGTCTACTTGGGCCGACATTACCACCCAACAAGCATACGAGCGCATCTGCGTGTTCTGGAACGTCTTCGTAACAGACCGCTTCATCTCTTTGGCCTGTGGGAGACCGTATAGCATCCATGAAGCTGACATTCAGGTCGAGTTGCCTGCCGAGCTGTTCAACAGGGTGAGTTGACTCCAGTGTGGCCGTTCCATCCAGTCCTAACTCTACTAGACAATGCTTCCCCTACAGCTTGACCTCGAACATGATCCAAGAGTCTTCATCAACCAATACCTGCATTACATGATACTTTGGGCACGGTACACCGGCTACTCCATGGATGGACGAGGCTCCGATGGCCATGCGCAAGAGGCCCTCGATACGCAAATCACGCAGTTTCTTGACCACGACCTTTCGGGTCTGCGCGTTCCCTATACACAACCGGACTCTGGCATCGAGCCGCCAATCAAAACCTTTCTTTTACAGAAAAAGACCGACTTGGTCCTCTGGGGCTTCCGCTCGGCCATAGCCTCACTCCAGTACAACGAAAGCCATGCGGCTCACTTTGGCCATTTGGCGATAAGTACGGTCGACCGAATGTCTGCTTTTGCGCAAGACGTGCGGTGTCCCTTTAGCCTGCGACATCCCATGATCACGTCGTTGTCCAACGCTCTCCTGGTCCTCTGTTCACTCTTGGGACGCGACAGTTCTCCGAAGAATCAAGCTTGCATCGACTCTTTTCGCCATGCCGTAAATCTGCTCAACGATCTTGCATATAGTCAGCCATATGCAAAGCATGTCCTGGACGATTTCCAAGCAATTATGTCCGTGATTGAAGGCGTCATCCAAGGCAAAGACGTTCCCGCAGACGTTGCAGACTTGATCCCATACAAGTCCCAGTGTCCTAGTATCCGTTTGCCGCAGGTGTCTTCGTCAGCCAGCCAGCCTGTCAGTGTCAAAAAGGCGTCTGCGAAAAGCAACGGTCATGCTTCTTATACGAACGAGGTCCGTCATGGTGTTTTGTGGCTCTGACAAATTGGAAGTCTGGTATTGGTCACAGCAAAAGTGTGTTTAGTGGGTAGAAAGGGCGTTTTGCGACAAAGAACTCGGATCTGATTTGACCTTTTGTACGACAATCTCGCATAGATACCCATACTTGGTATAAGCCAAAGGCGTTTGGAGATGTAATGTTAATACTACGACGTTTGTGTACACGACTTTGGGATACTATTGCAGTTGGTTGGATACAAAGTGGGTAGTGCTCGACACACCAGACTGATGCGGTTAACCGGCCCAACTATCTAGACTGTATGCATAGTGCCTTTTATTGCGTACGCTACTGCATTGACACATAGAATTCGTTTATAGAAGATTGAGTAGATTATAAAGGTCCTCCCGATTAACGCATATACCCATCCAACCCTTTTTTCACTAAAACATCCACGCATCTACGCTGTATAAACAACGTGTCTCATCGTATCTCGAAACAATATTTTTGCCCTTGAATCAAACCCGATGTTCTAAGTCTACACGAAATCAAGGAAGGAATCACGGTTAGCTGCATCTGCATTCAGTCATGATAGCAGTTGGACAACTTACTGGATTGGCTTGGTCATGTATGACATCGTGGAGATAGTCTAATGGCACTGTAGGCTCTGATACACCGACGTGTTGGGGAGAGTCGCTATTCCTTACATTTTATCCCGTTTTAGACTTGATTCAAGCTGTGAGTTGTGTATGCAAAAGGGTTTAAACTTCCAGGTCCAAAGAGGATTTTGTCTTCTTGTGGTATATGTATGCTGTTGTTTCTTGTGAAATATGGTTTATTTACTTGCTATGCGTAGAAGAAGAAGAAGAAGAAGAAGAAGAAGAAGATAGAATGGGATGTTGATTTTTGGGAGAGAAAGACTAGAGGTGGGAAGGGAAGATAACGATGTATCTTAGTGGTATCTAGCAATCTGATTGGAAATATAATACCTAATGTCTGCACTCTACGGGTTTATTGTTTCATCGCTCTGTATACCCTCAGCACTGCACTTACACTTACACTCACACTCATATACTTAATAACATGTAGATAACGCTTACACGCTTATGCATACATCCTATCTCTTCAATCACCCCCTGTTTACCGAGAATATATTTTATCGCGTCGTATCGCACTGCATAACCAACTAATTTGATTTCTCCTCCTCTTCCCCCTTCTCTCCTTCTTGCTGTGTACTAAAATCACCCTCCTAGGCGCTGTAGTCTGGACTAATTGTAGCTGTAACTATAGCTGTGGATAAAGCGGATTTGGTTATCGAGCTGTGCATGAATGCATGTTTTGTACACGCTGTAATACATGTATATAAGGTGAGACATAATAAGATGAGATGCTGTAAGAAAGGTAAAACAGCGATGTCTATAAAACGTGGTAGGTACATACACAATATTTGATTATGATATTTCAACTTCATTACATGTTATTTCCATAGGAAAATCAATAGACAAGCGGATAGCGGGTGTTCATCTCTCCTATACTAATTTGACACCGTGAATAAGGGACATAACTAACGATAGGGTTGGAATATTGTGGAAGAGAGTAGTCGCGCATATTGACTGCAGATACCTATCTATCTACCCATCTACTCTCTCTCTCTTTGGATACCTATTCCTATCCTGATATCTCCCGAAAGGGGGAGAGGAGGGTGCTGTGTTTATTACCTACTTAATTACTTACTCCTACTACTAATGATGATACGAGACACATAGACACAGATAGCTACACAATTCACCTATTCCAATGTTTTTCTTTCTACCCCTTCTTCCACCCCTCAGTTTCCTCATCTCCCTCTTCGCCTTCTTCGCCTTCTTCGACTTCTCCTTACTCACCACTTGCTCTGTACTACACTATACCATACTACATCCTAACTAGGAAATAGCCCAGAGACACTGACTGCCACACTGCTATACGCTGCCTAACCCATACGCCCCCAAATCAACTCACCTCAACTCATCTCGTAACAAAAAATCCAGTTATAAGTTTTACGTCGTGCATGTGCACATACATACCTTGCTTAGTTCCATTGTCACATCATGTTCGTAGTAACCAACCAACTTACCCATGCCTTGCTACCATAGTAACTAAAAGAAAGTCTCCATTTATCTACCTATCTGTTACAAGCAACAGGAAGGATTCTCTCCTTGACGGGGACAGAGAGGTTGAAGGCCAACCACGTCCACGTCAGAAGGTAATGATCATCGCGGGGCTTGAGGTCACGTGATGCGTGCTCCCGCCAAGAGCCCTGCTCCCGGAGCACGGGTGGCCTTGGGAGAATTGTGCTCCCAATGCTCCCATGGCATGGGGAGAATAGGGAGCATCAGGACAGAACACGATGGGTATAAGAATGTGTTGGATTTCATTATTACACTCGTTGTGGTCAACTTATTATACTGTACTCTCTTACAAGTTCTTTACTTAACAAGATTAGTACTTTGTTATTCTATCTTACTATAGAATTGATTGTCTTTACTATCGGTTAAACATCCATAACTCTTTTCCACCTGAATTACTCGGCAATCACACGGCTTACCACGAACCCGCTGACTCGCCCTAACCCGGATCGAGTCCTAGCTAAGTATAGTCGAACCCCGTGTAACACTTTGACCACCACCGAATTTAGTGGAGGAGTTTAACCAATAGTTCGCTCGAATAAGATTACCATAATGGCCCACAACGGAAACCA